TGGTATGCAGGGCTCTGACAATGCATAGTGAGATGTAATCATTAGGGAACTCTGGATAGAAGGTCAACAAAACTCCCTGTACTGTTTTTATAACTTCTTGTGAGTCTAAGCATTTCAAAACAAATAAAAAGATCTTACAATAAGAAATTAATGTAATAAGAAGACAAGCTAAAATATTTATACATTTGCTACATGTAGAGTATAATGTTCAAACAGCCAGTAGGGGAGAGATACATCATGTGGTCGGCCCTTCACAAGGCTAGAAAACAGTCACATCAGAGTCTCCTCTGGGCAGAGCTCTGTCCAGGACTCTCTGAGTAACATCATCCTGAACTTGTTCTCTGTACTTGGTGACTGCCATCCACTCCTTCAGCAAAACTGTCACCTTCAGCGTGACCATTGGCCCCTTGATCTCCAATCCTTACATATAGGTTTTTAAAGCCTGTTCTTTGCTTTTGAACCTTGCAACTAACAACACAACCATACCAGATACTTAGCCTCTCTTTAAGTCTTAGCCCCATGTAGTTCACAGTAATCCCGTGGGCTACTTTTAAGATAAAATGAGAAAAATTGATTTCCAAAGGACCTATAACATAGTAAATGCTCTGTGAGTATTAGACATTACAAAGTTTAAAACAAATGGGGGGGAGATTAAAGCTTCCTTCCCCTTCTACTGATCTGTCAGGCATGGGGTCCTGTTCATTTTGCATCTCAATGTCACTCAGTTTCTACACCCTACTTAAGCTGAGATACTGAAGCACACACTACTCTCTATGTACCCAATTTCCAATTTCTAGAAGAGATTTGATCCTGTCCTGGGAGAACATAAAAAATGCAGGTAATCCTTGTTGCCCAATAATTTCTGATAATCTCTCTCTCTCTCTCTCTCTCTCTCTCTCTCTCTCTCTCTCTGTGTCTGTGTGTGTGTGTGTGTGTGTGTGTGTGTGTGTGTGTGTAGTAAGCCATTAAAAATGAATCCCTCTCCCAAAGATGAGATCTGATCTGGGTACTTTCCAGGTGACTTGTCTGGTGTGGTCACCCAGTGACATCATCGATAAAATATAAATATAAATTCATATGGTTAGATCATCTTGTCCTTTGAGACCTGGTCCAAAGATCACTTTTTTAATCTATCAAATTGTCCTTCATTACATCACTGACCTTCAGTATAGTCCTATCAAGAGACAGGACCGTAGTCATGTAGGTTTTCTGTGGCTTCAGAGCTTGAAATAAAGGTCTTGAATTCATGTTGTCTGTCCAGTCCTCACTCTAGAGTTGTCTTTTCTGCTTCATGAAGTGGATAGCATTCTGTGTGACTCCATAGCAAATCCATCTCTCCAAGGGCTGAGGACCCACTAGAACATCAGAAAGATGTTCCAGTGGTTTCTTTTTATGCCTGGGGAAGGGTCACTTGCCCTTTGTTTTGATTTCTCTCTTGGGAAGTACATTGCACTGAGAGTCCATGGTGGGCTCTGAAAAAACAGGGTGTTCACTTTTAGCTCTTGGCTTTGCCAGTCTCCAAACTATGTGGACATCTGTCATGAAGACTGCAATGTCAAAGTCTAGATCCATCCATTGTGACTGAGCTATGCAGGAGATCGGGTGGGAATCCATCCAGCAGTACTGAGTGTCTTAAGATGATGTCCAACTCAAAAGAGCAAGTGACATTTTACCTGTGCCTATGTTTGTCTAAAGCAGTGTATGTTTGTACAGTTTCCAACTGAAAATTCTATTCTGACTGCACTGGGACAGAGGTCTGAGGTGATACAGATTCCATCTTCAGTGTCTCTTGTTCGTTCTTGTAATACTTACTCTCCATTCCCTATCTGCAAGAGAGTATTTCCATAAGAGACTGTTCTAGACTATCTGCTCCCCATCTCTCGGTAGGACCATTCCGCACTGTAGCCAACATTATTGTCTTCAAAACACATCTTGAGTATGACCTTCCACTTCTTTATACATCTGGTAGTCGTTGATTCCTTAGATTAAAATTCTAATGCTTAACCCTGGAGAGTCTAACTAATCCTCTGGTCTCACTTCATCCCTCACTGCAATCCTACCCTGTAGTCTTATGTTGCAATTTAAATGTAAAATGTCTCCCACAGGTATACATGTTTGAACTCTAGGTCTCCAGCTGGTTGTAATAGTTTGGGAGGCTTTTGAACCTTTGTGTGTTGGGACCTAGATGGAGGAAGTGGCTCAATGGGGAAAGGGCTTTGAGGCTGCCACTTCCAGCCCATGCTCTCCACTTCCCGGTTGACACCATGAGCAAGCAGCAGCCATACACTTCCCTAGCATGAACTCCACCATGCCTTCCTCGCCATGGTGAACTGTACTCTCTCAAACCGTTTTAAGTTGCCTCTGCCAGGTGATCTACCTCATCATTCTATGCACATGCTTTGTTCATTCCTTCTTCTCTGCCTTTGTATGTATGTCCCCTCTACTCAAGCTGAGTCCGGGGTTAGCCAGAATGGACCAAAGGTTGTAGAGAGAGGGGATCATGAGCTATCTCTAGGGCTGATCAACTTATAAAAGAAAACATTAAGGACTTCCAGTTCTAAAGGGATAACATTCCACCATGGCAGAGCATGGCATCAGGCATGGCTGAGAACTAACATCTCAAACTTTGAGTAAGAGGCAGAGAACACATTGGGATGGTACAAGTCTTTTGAAACCTCAAAGCTCACCCAAAGAAGCATACTTCCTCCGACAAGGTCATACTTCCTTATCCTCCCCAAATAGCCACCAACCAAATATTCAAATGCATAAGACTGATGCGAAACATCTCATTCCAACCACCAGGCTGTCTATCTTATCCATTCATAATTATCAATTCTGTTAGACTCTTGGCTTTGGTGGAGTAGAATCTAATTTTTAAGTTTGTTTATTTTTATTTATAAGTGTTTACCTACATGAATATATGTGAATCACATGCATGTAGTATCCATGGAGACCAGAAGAGGACATCACATCCCCAGGAACTAATGTTAAAGATAGTTGTGAGCCTCCTTATAGATAATGGAAACCAAACCTGGGGTATCTTCAAGAACAGCCAGTGTTCTTAACCATGGAGCCATCTTTCCATCCCCAGGATTTCTAGAAGATAGAAATCCTGATGTTGGTAGCATTGCCTTATTTCAAAACAAGGAAGAATACAAGACAGTCAGGGAGTGGCCATCATTTTCCATGCTTTCCTGCTAAAATGTTCAAGGGGTGAAAGTTGACATTTTTAAGGGAGAAGAAAGACATAGCAAACATGACATTTTGAAGGGCTAATTGGATATGGATAGACATATTGAGATGATGTCCTGTTATTGTCAGAAATAATGTTTTACAGAGAAGCTATTTGTGGAAAGAGCAGTGATTATTGATTGACTAATGTGCACTCAGGGATATGGAAGCAATAAGGCAGAAATATAGTGCCTGCAGAAAGATGTCAATCAAAGTAAAGGAGCTAAACTAAACACCTCTGATCTGAGATCTGACCCCACCCACAGAAATCAACCCATAGGACCCACGTAGATAGCTCCACAATTATGTAATGCAATCAAAAGTGAACTAGGAGGGATCTACCAACCACTCTGCAGTCTCATGTTTGCTATTAAGTTCAAGAACCAAAACAAGCTTGACAGTCAGTGAACATATGTCTCAAGTTTTAGAATACCATTCTGACTTCATCTTCTGTAAGCCCAAAACCCAACAGAGAGTCCTGTAATCCCAGTAGTTCATCATCCAAACTACATTCTGCTTGTTTCCATCTGCCCATGAGAAAATGTGACAGAATTCTCTTTTCAGACCATGAGTCCCAGTTTTTAATTCAGGAAAAAGGACAGTGAGCCCCGTGGAGCCAGCTTGGGTAATGGAAGAAAGATTTCAATCAAGATCATTATGTTTTATTTCAAAACTTTATTTTTTTAGTGCAAAAAAAAATTAACTAACAGGAACATGAATGGCTGATGGAAAATAAAGATAAAGTAGAAAAATATTGAGTAATGAGATTTGGGTTGGGGGGTGGGATGTGTTCAGATTAGACAAGAGTTTCTGTAAATGAGCTTGACTGTGGTAAGGTCTCTGATAGAAGCTTCCTATCTGGCATTTAGGCACTGCACGTATGGGAAGCACCTCAGAGAAACAGGGAAACATGCTGTGCTCGGGTCTCCAGAATCACTTTATTTCCCATGAAACTAGGCCAGGAAACAGCACTTTGGGGGGTTGCTCTGTCACATGGTAGCAGGATCTGCAATGTACAACAGATTTGGCGGCAGACCTCAATTGTAAGTGGGGTATTTACTGTGGTTCCAAAGAGATTTAAGAAATTCCCAGCATGGGGCATTCATGACCATCCTGTAGTGTGGGGCGGGGAGGGGCGGCTTGCAAAACAACTTCACTGTCCAATTATATAAATATCAAATCCTGACTCCTTCCTATTCATTTTCTTCTGATCAATTACCTCAACCAAATGTACTATTGAATTGGTCTGTCTTGTTTATTGTGTGGGGCTCCTACCCTACCCTGGAGGGTATATTTCATGAGCAGCTATTGTGCGTATGTGCAGAATGAATGCATGTATGAACTTTTTAAAATGTGTGTGTATATACATGTGGGTATTCAGGCATGCAACTTATGTGTACATGTGGAGGCCAGAGGTCAGCATTGGCTGTTTTCCTCTCTGGCTCTCCATCTTACTCTCTGAGTCTTCACAGAAACTGTCTCTCACTGATTGGCTAGACTAGGAACCCCGAGGAATGTCCCTGCCTCTGCCCTCCAGCGCTGGGATTATAGGCATTCACTGCCAGGCCTGGATTTTTCGTGGGTGCTGAGCTCCAGACTCATGCTTGCACGGCAAACACTTTGCCACGCTGAGCCATTTTCCCAGCCCCAGAAGCAAGGGCAGGAGGAAAGTCTGTCTGAGGCCACTAGTGGACCCCCTGATGCTTTCTCAATCTTTCCTCCCCGATGCTCCTGATCCGCTCTACACCACCTTTCCTATCTCTTTGCAGAGCATTGGCTGTGACGACTTCCTGGGCTCCGACAAAGTTGTGGACAAGTGTGGGGTGTGTGGAGGTGATAACACAGGCTGCCAGGTGGTGTCGGGAGTGTTCAAGCATGCCCTCACCAGCCTGGGCTACCACCGAGTTGTAGAGATTCCCCAAGGAGCGACGAAAATTAACATTACAGAGATGCACAAGAGCAACAACTATCTGGGTGAGTTCATTTTGTCTTTTACACACACACACACACACACACACACACACACACACACACACATACACATGCGCGCGTGTGACTTGCAGCAGTTGATGAAATCTTTCCTGGATGGTGAGGCAAGCACTGTGGTGGCCAGATATCCCAGGACATACAAAAAGTGCCACAGGGGATCTTCCTGACCTGCCCTTTGGAAAAGAGTGTGCATGTGTGGTAGTGGTGGGGTCCTTACAAGAACTAAATGGTTAATGTCTATATAGTTACACCAGGTTTTACTCAAGAAAGATGTGGGCATGAAATGGGCAAGACTCCTCTGAGCTGGAAGGGGGTTTTTGTCAAGAAGGGAGATTTGTTAGTCCTGGTTCTCTTGGGGTCTGGGCCACTTACAATTCCTTGGAGACCTTTCTCCTCGGAGGGCCAAAGCAAAGGTAAGCCTTCCTTCTCTCTGTTTCATCTGCCTGGGGTAGCAGGCCCCTGCAGGCCTTCTGAAGGGCTACAGAACCATCACAGTCATCTCAGGCAGTACCATTTGCAACTAACCCATTTGAGAGCCTGGCTGCTGCTGTCTTCTGGACATCCAGGTTATTTGCATCCCTTCCACTGTGCAGCAGTCACAAGAGTGAGCATTTGCCAATTTCTAATTCAGGTAAATGTGTGCAAATCAGTTAAGCAGATATTATAGGGGCACCTGTTTTGTTTTCTGAGACAGGGTCTTGATCTGTATCCCAGCTGTCCTGGAAATAATATAATCCAGGCTGGCCTTCCTCCTATATGCTGGGATTATAGTCATAAGCCACCAAGCTGGTCCTTCAGTGTCATTTCTTCAAGACATTTAACAAGCAGCAACAGACATTGTGTTTATAACTATTTATTGAACAGAAACCTGTCTATAACAGATCATGTGCCAGGCAATATATTTATGGCTTTTCCTGTATAAAATCCTGGAAAACTCTAAACAATCTAGAGCCTACAATCTATTCCTAGCCTCGGTTTACAAATAAAACAGACATGTGGGGATCAGAGTACTGTCACGGTCACACAGCAAGGAAGAATCAGAACTGAGATTCAACCCAAGGGAGGGTAGCTCTAGGCATAGAAGTCTAACATGAGATCATACCCATGGCTTTTCCTCTACCACTGATCACATGGTAGTCGGTATCCACCAGAGATTTCAAAATACCATTCATTCTGATGGGGTGTGTGTGTGTGTGTGTGTGTGTGTGTGTGTGTGTGTTCTAAGACTCAAACTCAGGTCCTTATGTTTACACAGCAAGTACTTTACTGACTAAGCCATCTCCCAGCTATCATTTTACACTTGTTCCTTTCCTACCTCCTCAAATACAGCCCAAATTAACTTCACTCAGATTGATTGTCTGGGGGAGAAAAGGATGGCAGATGGATCTCTGAGACAGACCCAATTGTGGCAGAAAACTAAGTCTCCCTGTAAGCAGTTTGTGTTATTTTAAATCTCAAATAATGATCTCTGTGTTTCTGCCTTTCTCTGGTGCTTTTACAAGATCACATCTCTCCTCACATCCTGCCTTCCATAGTGGAAAATGGCCCTCGGGGTTATTTGAAGTGTGATTGTATTTAAACACGCTGGCAAACGATGCCTGTTGCTATTAGCTTTATGTTGTTTTTAGTAAATGTTCCCTTACTATCACTGGTCCCATTTTGTAATCAGTTTTAGGCCCGTTAAAGGTACAATGGATATTCTGGGTGAACAACCACAGGGTACCTGAATGGAACTGTCCAGAACCTTACTCTTCCCATCCAGAGCATGGGATTGTATTGTAAGATTCACCAAGAGTGCAGATATATTAGGGACAGTGATTGACAAGAGTCTTCTCCCTTTTGTCTCAGAGAGTTTGTCGGGATGTAAAACTTAATGGACTATAGTTGGGAAGTGACTCTGGTTTATATAAAGTGCTTGGTGTGCAATCACAGGGACTGGAGTTCAGATACCCAAAACCCAGGCCAAGTAGGCGTGTTATCCTAGCTTATGTAGTCCAGCTAAACCACAGCACTCATGTAGGAGGCAGAGATACAAGGTAAGATAACTAGACTATTCACTCAGTGAGCTCCAAGTTCAACAGGAGACCTTGCCTCAGTAAATAAAAGTGTAGGCTGATGGAGAAGGATGCCCAGTGTCAAACTGTATTGCCCCATATATGCACACAGCCCCATATGTGGGATCATGCATACAGATGTATACACATACACATACAGATGAAAAGAGCATAGGGGGAGAATAGAAGTATCAAGAGCCAGTGAGAGTGGCTAGGGAAGTCAGTGGACTCAGGAGAAAGGCTTGTCTATAACAGGGTCACATGATGATGTGTCAGCAAGGAGCGGGGAGCAGGAACAGGCTTTGAAGAAGGAGACTGAAGAAGTGAGGAACACATGCTTCCAGCCATAGCATTTATGTCACCTGGAATGTTCTAGATGTTCCTTCAGGTCTTAAGACTCAGAATACATCCTCAAACCATAAATCTCACCCTTTTAGCAGTGCAGTGGTTGTGGTGGTCTTTTTCTCATCCTAGGCCTTCTTTACCTGACTCAGCTCCTGCTCTCTCTATGGAGTGTATGTTCAATGCCGTTTGCCTGAGATTGCTTGAGGTTCACACACAGCCATTAGCACATAGGTACAGCAGTGCCCCAAGGCTGGTTATTGTCATTAACCATTGTCAGATCGTGAAACACTTAGAATCATTCATCCCCTACTGCACTCTTCTCAAGAAGACTGGGTGGGGGCATTCATAGTGATGGTGGCCAGAAGAGGACATTGCATCTCCTAAGCAGGTGTGAGCCACCCTGTGGTTGTAAATCAAACCTAGGTCCTGAAAAAAATAGTGTTCTTAACAGTGAGTCATCTCTCCAGCCCATAATTATTTCTTAATTCCTCTTTTTAAAAAAAGATTTTGTAGTTACTAACTAAAGGTGCAATTATAAAATTAGAGTATGAAAATTGAACAACACGATTTTTGAGGCAAGATCTCATTATAGAACCCAGGGTGACCTTAGACTTGAAATCCTTCTGCTTCAGCCTCCAAGTGCTAGGATTAAAAGCATGTAACACCATTTACAGCTCTGGAAATTAAAACATTTTAAACAAAAACTAAATAGAAAAGGGAGGTGTGTGTACCAACAGGCCTTGGCTAATACATCAGTAACACTGATGACATTAACCCTGACTCTGAGTTTAGCCAGCAGACCTGGCTTCCATAGCTCTGGAAGGGCTGGCTCTGCAGAGCTAGGGGAGCAGGCCACCTCCACTTCGGCAAGCTACTCTTTCCTTCAGTGAGCAACACTAAGGAAAGTAGGACATTTAACGGTGCACACATACGAGAGATGACATGTGTTTGTCTCACTTCAGGTTGTAAAACTGAGGACACTCCAAGACTGAGCTCCATTTTTATTAAAATAATACAGTAAAAGTCATTTATGTCCTTCAAAGCTTAGCCCGATTAGTCAGATTTAGATGTTAAAGATTTTAGAACTGCTATCTGTTGTTAAGCTATGAAGTCTCCTTATTCTCAGACTTGCTATTTGGAGGGAAAACATTGAACCTAATGTTATTAAAATGACTGGAAGTTTGTATTACTTACTTCTCCGTTAATAAAATGTTGTAAAAATTATTTTAGCTAAAATATCAAAGTTTGGCCCAGTTGAATCAGTTCAGTTTACTAATGTTATTATGCAATAGTTCAGATATCAGACATGAAAGTGCAGCAAGCAGAGGCTGATTGTTGAGGACATGTTCTACCTGCCAACAAGTTACACCGTTGATGGGCTGTAGACTTGGAAGAAGTTCTTGGAGATCTGTAAGATCGTAAAAACAAACTGGCAATACAGTTCCCTTGAAAAATGTTCTCATGAAAGTTTAAAATAATGATAACTGGGGCCAAGGAGATGGCTCAGCAGTTAAAAGCACTGGCTGCTCTTGCAGAGGACCTGGGTCCCATTCCCAGCACCCACATGGTGGCTCACAACCATCCATAACTCCAACTACAGGAGATCCAGCGCCCTCTTCTGGCTACTGTGGGTGGCAGGTATCAATACACTTTCATACATGTAGGCAGACTCTCATACACATAAAATAAAAATGAATAAATCTTTAAAATAATATTGGTCAGCACCTAACACCTCAAGAATCATCATGGCGCCTCTATAATTTGCAGACTTCATTGGGTGAGAAATTCTCTGTATGGGAAGGCTTAGGATGTTTGAAAGGATGTGACATATTGGACTGAAGAGATGGTCCAGCAATTGAGAGCACATGCTGCTCTTGTAGAGAACCCAGTTCAGTTCCCAGGTCCCATGGATCACAAATGCTTGTGACTCCAGCTCTAAGGGGACTGTAGCTGCACTCACACGTGTATACTCGCACACATATACATAGTCAAAAAAATCAGTCTTTTAAAATGTGATGTCTTAAGCTTGTATGACAACTAATCCCAAAAAAAATTTTTCATGGACATTAGAAAAATGTCAAATCATACAGGGAATAGAAAGCAAACAGGAAAAATTCCCTCTTTGTACTAACTTGTTGCCTTTAAGGATACAGACATGCATGTATGTAACTTCCAGTTCTAGCACGGTATTCTTTCATTTGCACTTTCTAACTACTGGTTTTTAATTATTTCCATATTCTTATGAATTTGCCAATTTTAAAAGTGTTGAATTTTATTTGGACAGCTTTAAAATTGAGGTCCTCTTGCTGTTTTTAAAAATTCCCAGTTACGAGTAATAACCATTTTCTGTTTGTCTCTGTGAAAGCCTTAGTTTTTATCATGCATTTCAGCTTTGTGTGTTTCATTTCGTACTCTGTAGTACACATTTTTTAGTTTTGTTTAGTCAGGTCTGTTGATAGCTTTCTTGAAAGCTGGTAGGTGTTTGTATTACTTAGGAAGACCTGCCCACTGCCAGCATTATAAAAGTAGCCCTTAATAAATCACTATTTCTCTAGCTCTGTTTTTATATTTAAATGTTTAATGTCT